AACTCCTGGTTTAGTTCCTATCACAGAGCAGCCTCAGAGGTTCCTCCTGGGTGAGGCCAAACTGGAAGGTGCCCTCTGCAATGCGTGATGCTCCCTCACCGGGGGCTAGCAACCCCTTCACGTGTGAATCGCGCGGACCGTCGGCACCAGTGTTTTTCCTCCACAGCTCTGCTGCTGCAGGGCTGCCCTGCAACCACTGACGCAGCCCCTGCACCGTGAGCAAGCGTGAACACGAGCTTGGACTGAAGTTAATTTTCTTAGTGCACGCAACTACTGTGGACCTTTGCAGATTCCCTTCACAGCAGTCTTCTCAAGTGGGAGGCTGAGCAAAATGCAACTTGCCATTACTTAGCCTCAGCAATCGTGCAAACAGCCTTTCAAAAGGGCACGGTGGGCCTCGGCGGAGCAGCGCGAATCCCATCAGGGATGGGCTGCCGGCACCCCACGTGTTGCACTGGTTGGGGCAGAAGCAGCATCCCTGAGCCTCCGTTATCCCTGTGGTCATTTTCTGGACACGGTGGTGTTCCCAGGGTCCAAGCAGTGCCTGGAGACCTCGTTGCTGTTATCTGTCATGAATGCGTGTTATATTCTGTTTGGGGTCAGTGTGATGCAGTCCATTCTGAAACTTTAAATGGTGCAACTTTTACATATTTCCTGTATTGGCGGAGGCTACAAATGCCCAGGGCACAGATGAAAATGTGAATTGGCCAATATGCGGTGCTGCATAGAAAGCAGCAAATTCTATTCTAATTCCTGTGCAAATAGAAAGGCCCTGCCAGCACCCTGCCACCATCCACACCAGTGCAACTCAGAACCTTGAAGCTCTGGACAAGTTTAACCATTGCAAAGCAGAAAGCTCAAATGAAGGTATGATAGTCACTGCTTTTTTTTTTTTAAACAGGCACTAGAGAAACAATATTTTTTCATATTTGTTCAAAAAATGAAATTATTAGAAAAATAAAAATGTGTAGTAGACACTGATCTAAAGCTTATTTACTGTTTTAAGAATGAGAATGGAATCATGTATAATTAGCACAAAGTTGTCTGCATTTAAGCAATTAATCCTTAATTTTGAATAATGACAACTATTCTTCATTAAAACTTTGTTGTATATTAAAACAGGCACATTTTTCTCCTGTGAACATACTGTTATGATAAGGCAACAGCATTCTGGTTGACTTTTAAACAAAGTGTTCCTGATAGAACTATGCTATAATGAAGATAGATACAGAAAAGGTCCGGTCCCTAGAAAAAAAGACTGTGACATCTTGATGTGCATCTGTTACAGTGTAGTTACAACAGAAAAGTATTAAGGAACAAAAGTAGTCTGGGTATGCGTAATGAAAACTGGACTGAGGAATTAGAATAGCTTTATTCTTCTTAAAGTAACTTATTTTGGAAGAAAGTATCATTGGAGAAAGTACTGATGTCCAATAGCAAGATCATCACTTAATGTTTTTAAAATACCTCACATAAATGTTTTATCCTCAATCTACCAGCAGCTCTATATTAATTTCTCTGAGCCAAGTTACACAAAAAGGGAGTGTCTTTTTTGTTTGCTTTTTTGTTTGTGTTCCCTAGCCCCAGACCGCTGCCACATCTCTAATCTTAACTAGGTGCGCTATTGTAGCGGTCGAAACTTTTGCTTGCAGTAATTCTATATACTGGAGTTAACCTCATTTGTGAAAGAAACAGTATGTGAACTGGCAGTAGGTGGTGCTGGAATAGGGCCTTCAGATGATTTAGACATAAAAGGGATGCCGGTACCTTGACTGACAATCCCTAAATGCTGCACAGATTGCTGCTTGTTTCAGGATGTATCTAGCCTAGCCTAGCTTGAATATCCTCTTCAAAGGAATTGACTATTATTTGCCAAATGAGCCAACTGGAATATTCTTTGCTTTGTTTTGGGTTTTGTTTGTTTTCTATTTGGGCTACATTTCCAATGATAAAAGCAGCCTTTGATATGAATGCAGTATTTAATGACATGCATCTCCTGATCCCTCTGGCTCTCCTCTCCAGCTACATCTCTGTGCACCCCTGCCCCTTTTTGTTGTGCTTTTGCTTCCAGTTATCTAACAACTGCTTCTCTGTTCTGTAAATTACTTGCAGGTCTGTGCCAATATCCTTTTTCTGTAGGCTCCCCCAAGGTTCAATTATCTGCCTTTTGCTTCTTTCCTTCTTTCTTCTTCTGTATAATTTTGATTGTAACACTAATTTACCAGCTCCATAGCAAAGATGCCCAACTGTCCACTGCTTTCACCAACCCTGCTGACTCCACAGCCCTCTTCCTGACCTTAGTTGTGCTCTCAACTGCAAACAGCAACTTCATCTCAGCATTCCTAATTTAAGAGGCTCAAAGGCAGAAGTGTTTCTTACAGGAAACATGGCTGCAGTTTACCTCACAGTAAGGGAATCGATGTGGTTCCCTCCCTTAACAAATTGAACTGGCAAAATGACCCTCTTGCCCGTAAGGGAAGTAGTGCTGATATGGTGGGTTTTACTAACACAGCTGTGTTATGTGAAGGGACGTGATTTTTACCAACACAGTTATTCTACCGCTATTCACATGATGGGCCTGAGCCTGGGTTTGGGTTAGATCTTCATTGGTTCTCACTGTTCAGGTGACTACACTTCCTCAGTTCTGGCTTTGACTGAGCAGCATCAGGCTTGCACCATCGTTCTCATACAGCTGTACCTGTCTAGGTGGAAAGCCTCTCGTTCATGCATTTCTCTTCTCACAGAGTGGGACTCTCTTCAGAAGTCTCCTCAAGCCTAAGGTGTCCAGATAACACTCCACAGGAAGGGCCTGCCCATCCTTCTCTGCTGCAACAAGGACATGATTTCACACAAACCCCTCCCAGTATTTCTGGTCAGTCCTGCCCTGTGAATTCGCCTGAATTGTTTTCAGGCCCCTGCTCTGTTCTGGGCTTCAGAACAACCTCTCAATATCTAGCACATATTTGCAGTTCTTCTGGCTCTACACATCAGAATAAGAGGTTTTTATACAGTTTAAGATGAGATTTTTTTTCAAAAGCCTTTTCAGGATTTAGACATATTACCCTAATGAAAGATATGCATCTAAAGCTTTGATCATTTTCGAAAATGAGCTCTTTTCACATCTGACTGAAACCTTGCCTAAATTTTCTCCTTTCCCTGCAAGGAAAATTCAGCATGTCCTGGATAAATTCAGAGCTCTTTATTTCAAACTGAATCCATTTCAGCAATGAAAACCTTCATGCCTTATGTAGTCAGGCCTTTTTTGCTTTGGCATTGAAATGCTGTTGTAGAGAAAGCCTCTGCATTCCCTGAATAGAGAGAATTAACTTATTTACCCATTTGTAATTAGTCCCACAGCCTCATAATTAAATAAAATGTATAATTTCATATAAGTGAATATCAAACCTCCATTGAAAGCTCTTTTTATTCAGCTATATTTGGAGCTCATTTGAAGAGCAGCCACTTTAACTTTATTCAAAGATGCCCTTTCTCCAAACAGTTCCTATGAGCTGAACAGGAACTACCACAAGTCCACCCCCTGCCCCCAAGTATTTAAGGTATCATATCAGAAATGTTTCCCTCCCTCTCATGGGTTAAATTTCAGTTACTTCTGATGGCTTATTTCAAATAGAAAACCCTAGACTTTTGATACAGTAAGAATTGAAACAAACTTTGTGTCTAAACCCTATGAATACAGCAGTCAAAAGTCATTGTAACTTCTACCTCTCATACCCTGTATACTGTACCTGAGTAGACTCTGGCAGATAACCCAGTCCATGCATTAAAAATTTATGTACTTCCACAGCTAGGCTCAAGAGTTTTAGAATAGCTGTTCAGGGCATGAAGGTAGGTGTAGGGGGGTGCGTGCACGTGTGTGTGCGAGTGAATTAAACATGTTCATGTGCTATAATTAAAAAACTGAATGACATAGCTTTTCATGAATAGGAACAGATCTGAAAACGTGACGTGCACCACGATATTGCTCCTATAACTCACAAGTGTCTGATTTTTTATCATAGAATGATTTCCTAGCCTACATGTAGAGATACTACAATTCCAGAATATTAGGCTGCCTGCAGAAAATCCATCTATATTAGTAAAATGTTTCTGAAGAAATACTACTATTAATGTCAACATTTTTCAAGTACAGCGATTGCATACAGCTATATATTACTACTTTAGATATATTCTGACAGCTGTCAGAACTGAGGTTATAGTTAATTTACCTCTCTAAATGTAGTCACAGCATAAACTGAGAATTACTGCAAGTCCTGGCATAGGGAGAGGAGGGTTTTTTTTGACCTTGTGTAACCTTGCTGTGAAGGGTGAGCTGATACAGCATACTTTCCTATAATTAAAGCAAGTGCATGAGTGCTGAAAAAATTCTATCAGTACTGCCTATAAAAAAAAATTAATAGGTTTAGAGCCAGAAGGGACCATTAATATGTCATACATTTCACATGTCATTACATTTCATGAGTATGTGTTAGAACCAGTAACTTAGTAAAAACAGTTAACTTTTCCAGAGGTGCAATCATTTCTAGTTTTGAAGATGGAGGACTTGTCACCTCCACAAAGAGTTGTTGTAGTGAGGAAAAAAAAAAAAATCTTCCTGTTAAAGACATGCTTTATTTTCAATACCCAATGTTTAACTACAGCTTCAGACTATTGGTTTTTGCTCAGCTGTTCCCTCCTGAGATTAAGAGGTTCTGTGAGTTTTTCTTTTTCCCCTCAAGGTACCTGTATATTAATCAGTCTTAATGTAATACAATTTGAGTTCTTACATGGTCTTTTTCCTCTGCTGAATCATCTGTGGTTGTCTTGTCCAGTATTTCAACTTCTTTTGTAATGTATGTACTCTATCCTGATCTCACAAATCCTATACATGACAAAATTTAACCTCCTGCCCACTTTACCCTATTTACACAGGGAACATTTTAGCATCCAGGTTCACAAGAACAACATTTGTCCATTTGTGACCTCTAATCCTTGTCAGTCCCCACATTCCAAGGGTCAGCCTTTTTGGAGATACAGTTCAAATTCTTGCTCTACATACGTAACCTCACATTTAGTTGTATTGAAATGATACAAATCACACATTACTAACTTTTAAATTAGCAAAAAAGGATAATCAGTCTTTGGAGTACATTTTTTAAAACTATTTTATATTCAACCCCAAAACAATAGAAGAATATTTTGACTAATACGGGTCTCTGAACCTTTTTCAGGAAAACCCTTTAGAAATGTCAGTTCTTCAGTGACAGATCTTAAAGGGTAGATAGATGTCTTGGTTATTTAAAGCAACTCTTGGCCTGAAGGTCCCCATTTGTTTTGGCAACAACATGAAAGCAATATTTCACATGGTCACATGAAGACATCACAAAAAAATTCACGTACAATACTTTGCACTTCCTGCCCTTGGAGAAACTATTCAAGCTTCCAAATAAAATGCACTTACAAATCTGCACTAGTGTAATTTCTTCCGCTCACCATAGGAAGGGTTCACAGCCTAGTGACAAACCAAGAATAAAGTTGGAGCTGCACTTTGATTTTGATGTACCAGCAGGTATAGTAGGAATGCTGCCCTTTTACAGTCTTCAGACTTTCAAGTAATATTGGTAAGGAAGACAAGAAGTTGAGCATTTGTATCCTTCTTTCCCCAATACTTGTCCCGGACTTACAGACCTAGATGTCCAAGCCTACAGCCTTTAACCATACACATTTTATGGCTTTCAGGTGAGGAAAAGTTACTTTCTCAGGCTACTCTTTAGCTTGCAGGAATTGCAAGCAAACAGAAACCAATTTCTACACGTTCAAGAGACCAATTTGCTAGCTTCCTGTTAACTGAATTTGAAGTAGATGGATTCTGCAAAATAAGCATCTACTTCATTATGTGGTAATTTTTCAGAAGTAGCCTTTCAGGAACAGTGGTAATATTTTTGATATCCCATCTTCAAACTAGCAGGATGTTATTCCACAAAGGTGGCTAGCTAAAGGAAGCTTATCTGATAAAGTACTAATCAACTAAGAAATAGCAAAACTGCTATTGCCATCAGAGTCTAATAACCTTCCTCAGCTTGTCCACGTTGTGTGGGCACCTGAACTTTTCATGAATCAATTTTTGTAATAGTTCAGCATTAAGCTGAACATATTTTAAAGCTCTTGTCAGTTTAGAATTTAGAGACTGCAACAAGTATTTGAGCATCCAGGCGTACAAGTGGTCAGCCAGCCACATTAAAGCCTCTGAACCTCTGCTTATGAGGAGTTTGGCTTCCAGAATACATATGCCCAACTGAAGCCACATTAGAGGACCATAGGGGCCAGCAAGCTTTTCACAAAGATGTACTAATGCAGCAGGCCTTGAATTCTTGGAAGAATTTTCCCCTTAGAAGAAATGCCTTAGCCAGTACTATAGAGAACAATTATTTCTCTAAATCTTCACAGCACAGAAAGGTTTTTTTTTTTTTGCTTCCCTGCCTCTCAGACACTGAATGAGGATCTCTACGGCCACTACTAAATCTAAGAGAAACTGCCTGCTTTCATGCACCACTCATTGCTTTTCAAATGGGAAGGAAGTTCTGGTAGCCTATAGAAGGCTTTTTCAGAAAGGCAATGTTCTGCTTCTGTCACATTTAAGCAAGTGAAGCTATGGTAAGAAACCTTAAGGCACCAAAATCCTCCTTCCAACACAGATCCACTCTCAGTCTACAAGGTGGACACAATTTGCTGCCAATACAGTAAAAGGTTAATTACCCTGCAGTTATAAACTGGGCTGGAGCTATGTTCTAGTGCTCTTCATGCTCTCAAAGGTTTTCTAGAATTGCAATAACCTGATGTCTGGTGTGGAGATGGTCATACAACCAGAGACCATGTAGAAACATGCTCCCCCACCCCAGTCCCTGTTACTGTTCAGTAACTGCAACACTGGGGCAAAAGCTGGCTATGATTGTTATGTAACCATCGCATTGTTTAAAGCAACAAAGGTAGATGATACAACTGTTAAGGAGGATACTAGTTGCCTTTTAGTATGGGCTCCTGTGCATTAAGATAACCTGGGAGAAAAGGCAGAGGAAGATGACTCTGAGGCAATCTTTTTTACCCCTACTAAAACATCCAAAACAAATGGAGATGATGTGGCTGGTTCTCACATGAGTTCTACAATGGATTATCCACCATATTAAATCAGTAAGGGTTTGTCCCAATTAGGTTGGAATCAAGGGAAGGGAAGCTATTTTAGAACAGCTCCACTGTCAAGGTTAGATGGGACTCAAACGCAATACTGACTTTCTATTTAATTTTTTTTTTTTTAAGAAAAATTCCAGTTATGTCCTGAAACGTCTACACACCATAAAATCATTTAATCACTTTAAAAGCTGCTTCTCACATACAGAAACATCAGACAAGCAATTCAGATCTTGAAAATTAGTTCCTTTCATGATTATTAATTCCACATGTGGTTTGTACTGTGTTCCAAATAAAGCTAAAGACCAGCATGCAGTGTCACAGATAAAGTCTTAAGCAAAACCCTAATAAGATGAACATAGAAAGTACATAACTGATATATTATCAGTGTCATCTCTCAGCCAAAACAGCAACATAGCTGGGTGTGTAAGGAATGGCTGGTGTATGATATCATGACATTAACTGCAGATTTCCTCGAGCCTTCTGTCGTTAGATAGCAGAAAGCAGACAGGCAAGAGCTGTTCTTAAGGATGACTATTCCAACCTAGCGATGGCCCTGTTCCTAACAAACAGGATGCTGGCTAATACCTCAGCATCAGCAGACTCGTAGTTCATTCTCTAAGCCATAAATTTTTGCCTTTAATGTTTTCAATTCTCCTTGGATTTTGTGGGTTCGTCGGTTTCCTTGGCGGACCTCATGCAGAATTGCAAGATCCTGGTCTGGTCCAATATTTAGAGTCACCTGGAAAGAATAAGAAAAAATAGATTAAGAAAACCAGAGTGAAGTAATTTGAAGAGTATTATGATGAGAACACAAGGGACAGAACTCCCAAGGAGAATCTTGGTAGCTAGCTAAGGGGATGCTCAAACTAATGTCACTAGGCATATCACCAATAGAAAGGTGTTCCAGAACTGAAAATAAAGAACACAAAGCTTTGATACATTGGGGCATTATGGCACTGGAGAAGAAACCTGCATAAGATTGAACTCAAGCTCACCCATAAACTGTTGGCTCATTTTTCCTTCCTGAATGGCTTAGAGACCCACAAAAGTAGGCAAGTTAAAATATTTAACAACTTACGTATTTCTCTAAGTTTCTCTCCTAGTATGATATTTTGTTGTCTTTTACTACTAGAAGTCAGGGCAGTAGTTTGGACCAGTAGGAGCTTGTCCTGGCTAACTGCTGTGGCCCACCTGCTGCCTTTTGAACTGCATGCGATTCAGAAGTTGTTCAAATACAATTCCTCGTCTCAGGCTATGCCGCATAGCCAACAGTAATGCTGTGCTGGGGCAGAGGCTGCTAGATAATCAGAATTCCTGGTGGTAAGCTAGCAGGGGCTGCTGAGGGCAGTATGTCTTGTCACTCGAACCAGATTGCACGCCATGCCATCCCCAACAGGGGAGAAGAACCTTGGAAGCTGCTCCCAAAGCCCTCTTCTCTTGACTCTACAGTATCTCAGTGTCGTCATGTAGTTCTTGGACACAAAGGTTTTAATAGGCAGATCAGGAAATTTAGTCATCTATAGTCATTTTGACCTCAAACAATGAAACAGATTTAAAAACCACACTGGAGATTTCTAACAATTATTTTATTCCTCTGCCCTCTTGTGGTTAAGTGTAGAAAGAAATTAGAAGAATACAATTAAAAGTACACACACAATAAGAAAGCATTTACAAGGTTTAATTAAACAGTACCTTTGCACATTATATTAGAGATGAGGAAACCTGCAGTAACCGGAATAACTTGTTTAGAAAGTTCAGAAAACAGCGTTTCTCAGTTCACCCATATGCATTTATTTTCGTGCAGAGCCTAATCCATGAAAAGTCAAAAATTGTTTACGCTAACAACTCAAGATATTTTAAAGCTTGAAGTTCCCTTCATATCATATAGGTCTATGGTAGAAATATTGTAGGCAATTTTCTTTTTCTATCCTTATACCATGTTTAATCCTTAAAAAAAAATCCAAACCTTTAGTGAGGAAAATGCTTTGGACAGCCATGTGTCAGAAGCACAGAACACAGGAGGGTTTCAGTGGCACTGCCGACTAGACTCCTGAAATAGCAGGGAGTCAGTTGGACAAAAGCTATGCCTAGATGATCCTCTCAGGCATATCTTTTAAATAAATATCACGTTGCTCACTCCAGGCAATGTAATGGCTGTGGCTTCCTTTCTAAGCAGTTCTGATGTTTATCTGTACATCTAGAAACTACATCTATTTCAAAGTTACACAGATTCAACTTCCAGCTGTTGGTTTCTGCAGTGATTTTTCCAGAGTTGCAAATAAGATTTACAAAGGAAGAAACACAATATTCATAGTAATCAAGTCACTGTTCTGCCTCTTACTGGAAGAAAGCCAAATGCTATGGCCCCCAGGAAAAAAGTCTCACCACATTCTTTGCAGGATGTACTTCTGCAATGAACTATTTTAACTGTCTTATAATTGCAAGGTGCTAAGTGAGCTAAAGGTGTCAGGTAAGACCTTTCAAGGGTGTAGCAAAACAGGACACAGCTACTGTATGATCAGAGTTCATGGACCAACTCGATGCTTGATTAACAGTGACAAGTCTTTTTTTGCTTCATAAATGCACACAATCACAAGGCAAGTTTTATCACATATCTAAAGGAACACTTCGGAAAGAAATACAGTTTCCCTAACAACTCAGACTCTAAGGAAGCATTCCATTTAAATATTGAGACTACACCTCTGTAGGGTAAGCCCACATCAGTCTGTCTTAACAATTAGCTATTACCTTGAAAAGCTGCTTCTCTACATCTTTCAGCCTCTGCCGAAGCTGCTTGATGTCATTCTTGAAACCTTCCACTTCCATATTACGCCGCTTTTCCAAGGCCTCATATCGCCGAGTCATTAGCTGCAGGCGCTTTCCCATCTTTTCTGAGCGTTCCTATGGACAGGAAAAACTCAGTGGGGTTTACAGAACAGAGAAAGACGCACACTTACAACAAAACATGTAGAAGTGGCTCAAATGACCAATCCAGGGCTGCAAAGACAGCTAGCAGTGGACAATTACAGGATAATTACCTTAAAGAGCTCTCTGCCAACATCTCCCTCCTCACGAATCCTAGCCAGCTCACCTTCTAAGGTGACACACTGCTCTCGGTACATGTTTGATAGGTGCTGTTCCTGCATTAGTTGCTCTTGCAGTGACTAGGAAGGAGGAAGAGTAAGAATTAACCCAAAAGCCAGTGCTCACAAATTTCCCCTCCTCCAAAAGAACAAACATGAAACAGAACAATTGCTCTAATACCCTGACAGTATGACCCACAAATAACAAAAAATTAGTAATTGGCATTAGAGCTACTGAAATAACTAGGTAGGGACTCCTCCCACAATATCTAAAACCACTTCAATTACCCAAACCTTTTAGTTAGAGGATCAGCTCTCCATGACAGCTCTTCATCAATAAAAAACTATTTCCCTGTCCCAAGGCCAATGCCAATGCTTTAATTCTGCTTTTCACAGCTGCTTGCCCAGTACTCTTCTGTTTCAGAAGGAACTGCATTTCAACAGTAGATGAAAGCAATTTCACACTGCCCGTTTACCCACTTCAGGTCTTCAAACTTCTCTCTGAAAGCATATTAGTAGAAGATAAAAAACCCTGGATACTGCAGAGGAACTATAAGGGACATAGTGACTGAAAGGACTTTGTTCTCCCTGACAACAGCAAAGAAGATACATACACTGTGTTCCAAGTCCAACAGCTAACAGCATTTATACAAAAAAGGCAAGTACAACAAGGAGGTTAACAACTGTCATCCAGGTCACCTGGCTTGCAAAACGAGAGTTTATTTGCTCTAGGCATTACCATAAATCCTAACTGCCCAACATTTTACCTGAAATTTGCAAGCAGTGAGGATTTTTTGTTGTTGCTGGTGCTAAGGTAGAAAAATCTGCAACGAAACTTGTGGCAAACCAGTCCAACTTTGAAACAACTATCACTTACTATCTAGGCAAGATCCAGATGCTTGCAACTTTCTAGTCTATTCAAAGAGTCTCTAACTATTAGAGAACCTCTCCCTAGGACAGAATTACCTTTATTTCTCCACTATGGAATTTCCAAACTTCATAATCTGCCTGAGCAATCTTCTTGATGTCTCTCTGCTTCTCTCTTTCTGTCTTCTTGCTGATGAGCTGATCTGGGCCCTTGTCAAGTTTCCTCAACAGACTGTCCTTCTCTGCCATCCATGTTTTCTCATTGGCTCGAGCATCAAACTTCAGCTGGAGGAAGTCTCGTGTACTCTCATACAAAAGATTTTGGGTCTTATGAAGCCTGTAAAAAGAGATCTCCATTCAGTCAATTCACTTCTCCTAGTAGCTACTTTAATTCCCTCAGTTACCATTGAAAGTTGGAAGAAGTAGAGAAAAAAAGATAGGTGCTTTCCTACTATATTTAGCTTTTCCTCATCTGATGTCAGAAGTGATATTCTTCCAAGGTGAAACAGGATTTTTGATATGCAGATTACTCCATCCATCTCCCTCCATATACCAAGCAGCTGGCTGCATAATTTGCTTTTCTGCCTACTGCAGCAAACAACATAACGAAAACCGAAAGACTGGTTTTTAGATTGTTTCCCCTCTCCCCACCTCATGATTAAGTATCATGGTCATTCTCTCGTACTCACTTATCCGTTATGTTTTTAATCTTGTCCTGGTCCCTCTGATGCTGGACCTTGGCTTCCTCCATATGAATCCGCCTGTCCTCTAGTAGTGCCTCAAGCTGTTCCCTGGATAATCGTGTCTGCTCTTCCATCTGAGCTTGCAGGGCCTCCACCTGGATAGGTGCAAAGAAGTTACAGAATAAGCTCCTACAGCAGTCCTTTTAAATTCCAGGATCCAAGTCAGAAAGAGTCTTGACCCTATAATGCCTTAGGAGAGTTCCAGTTTCTAACTGAAATACTTTGAATAACATTTTTCAACAAAAAAAAAATCACGCCACAGGCGAGACAGGGTTATCGATAAACAAGAGCAACAGATGCAAGATGTTGGAAAGATGTAAATTGTACATAGGATGTGACAAATGCTGTGGAACACAAAGACCTCTCTCCCTATGATGTAAGCTTCCAACAAAACGATGGTAATGAATTCAAATTCTAATAGGGCAGAGAGTCCACATACCTCATCCTGGAAGAAAGACTACTGAACCAGAACAAACCACCAATTCTGAACAGGATAAGGAAAAGAGATGCAAGGAGCTTTTATCTAAGGCACATCATCAGGGAGGTCACAGATTGGAACTAATAATTGATAAAAGTTTGTTACTCTCACATAGGCCAGATACACACCATCTGAAAAAACTTGGTATGAATTTGGACTGTTTATTTTCTCTAATAATTTTGATGATGCTTTTGCTTCACAGTAAATGCTATTATGACAGCTAACTGGCCAGTGTCCTTTAGAAAAAGGAATCTTTTTGGTTCCACAAGTTTCCTCATTAATTTCTTTTCTTGATTCATGCTTCACATATGGCTTCTGGTACTTTCCTCAATTCACAGTTCTGTGCATTCCACTATCATTCACTGAGGTCTAGCAAAGGGAACAGTTCGCTGTGCCAGTGAGTCATACTGAGGGCAGCACAATTCCATCTCAGACACTGCTTCTGAGAGACTTCCACGAAATACCCAATCCTGCAGATTTTCTGCAAGTCTGATGTAAATTGAGAGCCACATCAATGAAACTACAAATTCCACATTTCAGGGCACCATATTCTGGTCGACTTTACTGGATCATCTGCTTATGGAAAGCTTCCAAGATCTGGTTTAAGTTCTTAAACCTAAGTTCCTTGCAAAGAAACAGGTAAATAAACAGAGAAAGCAGAAGTCCACAGCAAGACATGGGGACTGATAAGCAAAATGTGGACAGACTGATTTTAAACAGATTGCATATTTGTCTATCATAATTCCCTGGATGGCCAGGAATTATGCCCTTTGATTAGCAAGTGTTTTTACCTGAAGTAAGAGTGTTTGATTGTCTCTCTGATATCTCTCAGGACTTTCTGGTTTCTCTGCTCTTGCTGCCGATTTTGAAGTGCTCCTCTTGGTGCCTACAGCAAAAATCTGTATTAGAAATTGAAAAATGTTCTCCAATCTGCACTACTTTTCTTAGCAGGAGATCTTGTATTGCTGGTGTATAAGAAAAGGAAAAATCCCACAACTGCTACAGTCACAAGGACTTGAGGGCTAACTCGGTGAAAAAAGTTCCAGAACTTAGTGGTGGGCACCTTTACTTCATTTTATCATGCTGCAATACCTAAGCACCCTCCTAATCTTCTTGGCATATATGGAAAATAAACTTTTAAAACAGTTTAAGGAAATGATGCTTGCGCAGCTGAGTCATCTGCCTATTATCAGCCCAGGTGTAGAGAGTTAAACTACTGTCTGCACTGAAGGTAGGCAGAACACCACCTTTTGAAATGGATATGGGTTAGGATGGCTGTGCAGTTCAGTACCTGCATACCATGGTCACCTCTTCATTAGCCAAGCAGATCAGGAACATGAGAGCCAGCTCATGATATTTTAAAAGGCTTTGAAAGGAAGCCAAGAATACTGTATGCACTATGGATGTACACGTAGATGCATCTAAGCAACTTAATAGAGAAACTGGAGGTCTTCACAGTAAAGAATTGTTTGGTATACAGGATACAAATACCCAGAGAAGCAAGTATTGCTAGCTGAGCTGCTGTTAAATCAGTTTTGTTTGGTACCTGTTCTAGAAATACCATCTTGTTCATGCAGATCCCTGGATTTAGCTGGCCTTTGCAGAACTGTGACCTAGAGAAACAAGAGTAGATATCTTAGCTGAACATCCATACTTCTTGTAGTGGTCAAGAACAAACCTTAAAAAGTAAAATGAAGGATCCAAAAGAACAGTGTTACCTTATTCCTGCTACAATACAAGGAATACATACACAAAAGTAATGTCAGTGCTGAAAAAACTGTCCCTTAACAGCAGCTGAATTTTGACCTTTATGTCTTTCCCCCTCCCCCCCCCCCACCCCCCAAACAACTGGGAATGAATCCTGCCCTTGCTGGCTTCATTAGGACAAAAATCAGGCCCTCAGTAGCATACAGCACATTTTGGGGGCAGAAAGGAGAAGAGAGAAGGTAAAGATGATGATTATGCTATTTCCTTCCTTCATCCTCCTACTTGCCTAAGCAAGAAAGAAACATGAAAGGTTGATTTATCAGCACATTCACTGAAGCTACTGAGCAAAGTT